CAATAAAATATATATATATAAAATATTAAAATACCTAAGCCTTCCTCATGCCCCAGGACCCGGTTCGGAGGGCACCTCCTCCAAGAAGCCTTCCTCACGACTCCTAGATGCCGTTCTCTCAGGAGTCAGCTCAGACATGCCTCCCCTGGGACCAGCTCACACTCCCAAAATGTCCCTCCCAGCCCTCAGCTGAGCCCCACCCCAAGTCCCCAAACCCTCTGGGCTCTCCCCACCACCCAGCGCCTCACTCTTCCTCCAAGAGGCTCAGCCCAGCTCCGGGCACGAAAATAGGGTCTTCCCTTTCTCCTCTGCGCCTGGCTTTGTCCTCACCATTCCAACCAGACCCCCTCCCCAAGTCACAGTCAGTGCCCTCTGGCTAAATCCAGGGCATCTTTCCCCACCTTGTCCTCGGTGGGTCCTTCCCTATTTCTTTGGTTCCCAGGACACGGCCTGCCCTGTGTCCTCCCTCCTCTCTCCACCCTCAGCCATGGCCATGGTGCTATCCAAGTGCCCACTGTCCCTACCTATCCTCTCTTCATAAGCCACCCCTTCTCCCCATGCCAGGATACACCCTCCCCACGTCAACTACCTCTCTACACAGCAGACTTTCAAATTCCCACCTCCCACGTCCATCCCTCCCCTCCCCCAGACCCAGGTCCTGACCCTTCTACGTAGAATAAGTATTCCTACATCTTCTTCTCCCTGCAGTCTGGCTCCTTGCCAAGCTGCAGCCCCTCTTTCTCCCTCCCCGCCCTCCCCTCTAGCCCCCCACGCAGGCCTCATTAGATGGTCAATATGGTCATGCGGGCAGCAGTTCCAGGAAGCCACCCAGGGCAACCTGACCCCTGCCCAGCCCGCAGGCCAGCCCTCGACTCAGGATCCATGCTTCAATCCCGGGCAAGGAGGCCACGCTTGGAAAGAAGACAGCCATGGGGAAGGCTGGAGCCCGGAGGCCGGCCTGGAGCTGGGGATCGCAGACGTTGTGTGAGGCTCAACGCTTCTGTTCCCAGCAGCCCCAGGGTGACCCTGGCCAAAGCCACAGGATTTCCCCATGTCCTAGCCAAGATGGGTCACACCGAGCTTAACCGCCCAGAGAGACCACAGGCAAGGCAGACAGCGGCCAAGGCTCACAGACAGCTGGTGACTGTGCGTCCCCATCACACCCACCCCTCCACCCCCCAGCAAAGGAGAAATGTCCGTAAATATCTGTAGGAAAGGAAAATCCATTCCGTCCCACTGCTCCCCGGGAAGTCCCTCCTGTTGTCTAACTCCGATCCTTCTTGTTGCCAACTGAGTGAGCAGGAACAGCAAGAACCAGAAGGGAGGCACAACTTGAGGATGGCGGCGGGCGAGGCCAATCGTGAGCCAGACAAGCCCCCTCCCTCTGAGTGAGAGCACAGAGCAGCAGAGGGATTGGTGGGCAGACAGGCCTGCGCTCAGAAGCTTGTCGGCTAAACGGCATCGGACAAATTCCTTAATCTCTCCCAGTCTGTTTTCTTATCTGTGATGTGGGAACAGCAGTCCCTGCATGAATAGGATCGGATCATTGGGAGCACCAAATGAGATCATACATGTAACCCCTGATGCACACCGGACACCCAACCACTCCGCTACATGGCTCCGCCTCCTTATTCGTGTTTCTCAGTTCCATCCCCTCCACTGACTTCCTCCAGAGCTCACCTTCTCTCAGGCTCCTCCTCCTCCTCCACCTCCTCACCGGTCTCCTTGCTTCCAGGCCTGCTCTTCCCATGCACTCTCCTGGCCACGGCCAGAGGCCCCCCTCCGAAATAAAAATACGCCCCCATCGCGCCCCTCCTCACCCTCCTCCCTGAGTCACTTTCCACGCGGGAGAAACGGCTCGCTCCTTAGCTTGGCATTCCAGGCTGCTGATGACGGGCCTGTGTTTACCTCTTAAGGCTCACCCAGCGTCCCCTGCCCAGGCCGCAGGCCACATGTTGCTTCACGCCTCCCAGCCTTTGCACACTCTGCACCCTCAGCCAGGAATGACGTCCCCAATCCCACCCACTTGGCCTCCTCGTCCTTCCAGATGAAACTCGCTGGCCCCGATGCCACCTCCTTCCCGGGAAAGCTTTCCTCGGGAGCCATGTCGCCTGCCCGGACTGCTGGGGACTCCTCCTCCGCCTCTCACCACCCTGCGTGATCACCTCCTCGGCTCTACATCTTCTGGGGACAGAGTGGAGCCATGCACCCTGGACCCCCAGCCCTGGCATTCAGTCAGCGTGTGTGGAATGGATCTATCATTGCTCCCAGCGCACCTGGCTAGAGCAGTCAGCACACTACCTGCCTACAATGAGTCCTATCCGGGTACCTGCTTTTCCCCCTGGACCCCAAAGTTCCCAAAGGGGCATGGCAGTTTCTGACAAATTCCCATGGTCACTGTCATATATGGGGACGCAACTCCAGGCACAGGGGGGGGATGCGATGACTCCTGATCCCTAGAGTATTGGAGATTTGCCATTTCCTCCTCTGAGTCTGAGATAAAGCAGAGTCCCACTGCTCAGGGAATAGGGCAAGGTACGGCCCTATTATTGATTTTGACCATTTTCTTCCAAATGACGGGGAAACCTGCCTCGAAGGAAGAGGGAGGCCAACTGGGGCCACGGGAGAGACTGACAGGGGAGCCAGCCGGGCTGTGGTTGGGTGGAGTGTAGCCAGGCAACCCCGCCCACCCCGCCCTGTGGATTCAGTAAACACGAGGAGAGTGCTGAACATCTTAAAGGATTCATAGCTCCCATTGACAGGTGGGAAAACTGAGGTCCTGGGAGGTGAAGACAATTGCCCAGCGTCCCCAAGGCCCCCCAGTGAGTTGGATGCGGAGCAGGGGGAGTCAGGGAAGAGGTCCCGCCCCCAAGCACAGGGTCTCCAATGGATGCCTGGCCGCTCCTGGTGTCCTCACCCTGCCGACAACCCATGGCCGCAGGGGACCAAGTCCCAGGACGGCAGGCTGAGGGGCTGAGTCACCCTGATGGCGAAGTAGCACAGGAGGAACAAAGGAGAGGAGGCTCCCGGCTCCCCCCCAGGGAGAAACGCCTCACCTCCATGGTCAGGGTGACGTGGACGTGAAAAAGAGAGTCACTTCCTCCTGCTGAGGACAGAGACCTGGGCCGCAGGGGATGAGCCATGAAGGTGCATGCAGACCCCTCAGAGTCTTCTGAAGCCTCCAGCACCAGCCTGGGCCTTCACACACTGCACAGGGCAACCCCCCACCCCTTCACCCCCTCCACCCCGGCCTCACCCCCAGGACCCTCCAGGGGCATGGCAGTGCCCAAGAGCCAGCCACAGAGACACGGGACCACGTGGGCTCCCGTCTAGGCCCTGCCTCTGGCCCCTGCTTAAACAAGACAGGTAACCTCTCTTGCTCTGGTTCCTCTTCAAGAAAACAGGAAGAGGAGAACCAACCCCCCCTTGAAGAGCCGTCAGGAGGATGGCTAGGACGACGCAGTTTCTAAATCTTGGGAGCACCAGTGACCACTGAGCCTCAGTGGCTTCTTCTGGGAAATGTCCGTGGTCGCTGCAAGACCTCTCTCATGCTGCTGAGAGCGTGTGTCAGGCGGCTGTGGGTGTGGAACTGCTTTGTCCGTGGTCCCAAACATGATGACCACGGCGGGTCATTGCTCCCCAGTCTATGAGCTCCTGCAGCACACCTCTCTGATCCCCACACCATACCTGGTACCACAGCAAGGGCTCCGTAAATAATTATTGGAAGCGAGGAGAGAGAGGGGTAGGGTGGAGAGAGGGAAGAGAAGAGGAAGGAGTGGGGCACAAGGATAGGAGAGAAGGAAGAAAAAACGCAAGAGGGGTTGCAGAAGAGGTAAGAGGAGGAGATAAGGGAGACGCTTCTATCAGAACTGAAGGAAGTGGGTAGATGGAGAGGGCAGAAGTAGGGGGCAAAGCTGAGCCCCTGACCAGGGCTGTGCCCAGGGGCCACCCTGCCCCAGCTCCAGCCCCTTCCCCCTTTTCTGTCCCCGTTTTCCACTTCAGAGGCCTATCCTCTCCCCTTCTGAGTCCGGGCAGGCTCCTCCGATAGCAGCCCCTATCCCACCTCCAGCTTCAAGCAGATCCAGGCCGGCCAGCCAGGCCTCAGGGAGGTCAGAGGGAAAGGAAACAGAGCGGATAGGATGCGCTTTTCCCAGGCTCCCGGGGGGCCTCCCACTGTGTGATGTGTGTGTTTCCACTTCTCTCCGTGTGGGGGGACTGCAGCGAGTGTGTCAGCAGCCCCAGGGTCTCCGAGCCTGTGACCACGGGGCACTGTGCGGGCAGCAGTCTGGTGTGTGTCTGCTGGGGTCAGCGTTGGTGGGGTCTTGCGAACACCGTGCTAGCAAGACAGGTGTCAGCGTACGCAGTCATGTTAGTCAGGGTGACAACCTGTGTATGCCAGGAAGAGTGTTTGTTGTTACAGTGACGGAACGTGACAGCGTGTGTGTGTCCAGTGTAGGCCAACACGTATGCCAGCACAAAGGTATGTTAGAGTTGATGTGTGCTGGAGTGTGGCGGTGTATGCCCACATGACTGTCAGCAAGAATGTGTTGGCAAGGGGTACCCCTGGGTGTGTGACAGTGTCACTGTGTGTGATCAGTGTGTGACAGTGAGTGTGTGTGTGTGTGACAGCATGAGCATGCCCATGGATGAGTGTGTACGTCCGTGTGTCCACATGAGCGTGTGTGCCATTGTGTGTCAGCCTGCCCCGTGTCTGGGTCCCTGTGTCTGCTGGCCGGTGCTGGTGTCAGCGAGCGAGGGTGTCTGCGGAGCCATGAGCCAGATGGGGCAGCCGGCTCCTCTGGGTGCCCCCGCCCAGGACCCTGCCAGCGACTGACTCCCCGGGAAACCTCAGGGAGAGAGAGCCCAGTACTGCTGAGCCGGAGCCTGGCGCTCCTGCATGACGGCGATCGCAGAGCCAGGGCGGGCGCGGACTGGAACCCCCGCCCGCGTCCAGGCCCAGGTCAGCCCCACGCGCCCCGGCCGCCACCCCCCGCTCTCACCGTGTCCCTTTGTCACCCATGGTCCGCGGCGGCTGCAGGCAGGTCCCCGGCGTCCGCGCCCAGGCTGGGCTGGAAAATCCCCGGCCGCCGGCAGGAAGAGCGCGGGCAGCCGGCTCCCGGTTCCCTGCTCCGCCTCCTCCGCCCTCCGGCCTCCGCCGCCGCCGCCGCCCCCGCCCCCGCCCGATCGCCGCCGCCGAACCGCCCGCCCGCCGGGCCGCTCAGCACCCAGGCCGCGGCCAGGGCGGGAGCCGTGCGGGGAGCGCGCGTGGGGCTGTGTGCGCGCGTGTGTGTGTGTGTGTGTGTGTGCGCGCGCGCGCCGCCCAGCCAGCCGCCGGGGCAGGGCAGCTGGAGACGTCTGGGCCCGCAGGGCCTTGGGGGTCCACACGTGTGCGTGTCCAGATGCGTGTGTGCGTGCGTGTGTGCATGTGTGTGTGTGTGTGTGTGTGTGTGTGTGTGTGCTGTAATGGGTGTGTACGTGAGGGCTTACACTGGTGTAGATGTCCGTGCGCGTGTGTGCACGCGAGAGTGTGCTGGTGCGGTGTGCACGCCGTGTGCGCGGGCCGATGAGGAGTGTGTGTGTGTGCAGATGGAGCGGTGTGCACGCCTTTGTGCAGCTGTGCCTGTGTGCAGGCGCGCTCCCCCGCGCACAGAGGGCAGCCTTTGTGTGTGTGCGGGAAGGTGAAAGCTGAGGGTCTGCCGTGTCCCTGGTGGGGTAGGAATGGGGGTTGGAGGGGGACTCTGGGTACCTGGCAAGCTAGTCGACCTCTGCTCCACCCTCCCCTCAACCCAACTCCCCACCCTTCTGGAGAGATAACACTCAACAACCCAACAGAGACAGGAAGCCGGGGTGGAGGGGGCAGGAGAAGACAGCAGCGACAAAGCTGGGGCACCGGGAGGGGCACCGGAGGGAGCAGGGCCAGCGGTAGTGGCTGCCTGGAAAGAGGAAGCTGTGAGAAGAGGAGATAAGGAAGAAGGCATAGAGCTGGCCTGCTCCGCCCGTCCGTCCGGGAGTCTGGCCTGGTGAGGTAGCATGATGCAAAGTTCCCTAGCCCAGGCTGCTGTGGGTGACCCAGGACTTCAGCTCTCTCAGAACCAGTCTCCAAACATGTGAAGTGGGAAGCTAATACCGGCTTGCAGAATGGGTCATAGGGGTTTGCTGATCTCCCCTGACACACCATAGGTGCCAAGGATATGTTAACCCATCCCTCTGCAGGCCTCAGGAGATGGCCTTTGAAATCCTGGCTGAAACCCGGCTTTGTCTGAGGTTACTCCTGCTTTGCTGGCAGATGAGAGAGTGTGAGGTCTTTCGCTGCTGGGATTTGGCTCATTGGCCCTGATAGGCCCCTAATATTGGGCATATTCATGAGAGGAAATGAAGCTATCATTTACTCTGATGTGATTGTAAGTCTGTAATTATGCTCAGCAACAGATACCTATGCTGGTTGTATAGTCGGGTAAGGATATCCCAATGGAATTGCCATAATTACGTCCAGATGGCAAGTGATGAGGGGTTTGAGGGTCTGACAGGCAGGCAGGGTGGTCCAGGGTCTGGACAATATTTGGAGCTGGGAGAGGGTGGATGATGGTTTAGAACTCTCCTCCTGGCCTTAGTCTCTGGGCATCAGTCACCCTCACTCCCACAGAGGAAGGAGAGAAGGCACCTGCTGTTTCTACGAAGGGCAGAGATCTTGAGAGGAATGTATCAGAGTCTTGTCTAATGAGAGGAGGCTCTCTGTGTGAGCCAGAGAGGATCCTTACTGAGATGGAGAGGCCAGGTTCCCCACCTGGAAAACAGAAGCTCAACCAAAGCAGGTGCTCTCCATTCAGATACCTTCCACCAGCGCACAGCTCTCCCCCGCCCAGTTTGGCAAGCACAGCCCTGACCTTCTTGGGACGCTGAACAGACGGGTGGCCTGTGGAGTCAGCATGCAGGATCTCACGTACATCTCTGCCAGCCCATAAACTTCACTGGGGGGTGTGTGGTGCGCCTGGCACGCTCGATGCTCACCATTCTGTGAGATAAATGTTCTTTTCCCTTTTTTTTTTTTTTTCTTTTTTTTTTAAGAGCAAACTGACACTCAGAGAAGAAGCCAAGTAGTTTGCCGAAAGCCGTAGGTTCCTGTGGACCTTGGCCTCTGACTTTCCTTCTCAGGCCCTCATCAAAGGGAAGCTAACATGTAGTAGAGCCAGAACGTGGCCCTTGATTTACTCCTCACTCAATAACTGTCTGTTCAACGTGACACACGTGGCTGTAGGTCCTTATAAACAGTGATTAATGGGACAGAAGGAGCTTATATTCCAGAGAGGGATGTAGGAGCAGGGAAGCGGAGGGAAGGGGGTATTTTGACTTTACCTGTCAGGAATACAACCTGTTATGTATTCCTAGTGTGATTAAAATCAATAAAAAATGTAAAAGTAGTCATCTTGAGGCGACCTCTAGAAATACAAGCAATCCAGTTTCAGGCAGCGATAAGTGTTATAAAGGACATAACACGATGATTAAAGCATACTGGTGGCAAGTGTTCTTAGGAGAAAGCTCTTCAAGGACATGGCCTCTGGGCTGAGACTGCAGATGAGGAGCCAGAGCTGTGTGGGGAGAGCCAGGGGCAGAGGGAGCAGCAGGTATAGAAGCTGTGCCGTTCGGAAGCCCAGGACCAGGGGGCCTGGGTTTGGGTGACGGGAAGAAATGGTGAGATCGTGCAGGGCTTGTGGCTGGAACTAAGGAGTTTGGGGAGCCAGTGGAGGACTGGGGAGATGAGTAACAGTGACTACACTTTTAAAGGTCACTCTAGCTGTTGGAAAGAGTTATCTTGGAGCAAGACAAGAACAGAAGCAGTCACTCTATTATTGCAGCAGGCAAGAGAGAGTGGGTATGGCTTGGACTCGGGTGGTGGCAGCAGAAATGGGAAGAAATAAAGAGATTCATTTATATTTGGAGGTAGAGCCAACGGCACCTGCTGAGGGACCAGCTGAGGACAGGGGAGGATCCTGGCTTACTCTAAGGGCCCGGGCAGGCCTGTTTGTTCCACCCTCAATGCAGGCCACCTTCCCCTGCATTTCTCCAGGGACACTGATGGTTGAGAGGCTCAGAGGCTCTTTTTTTCCTGCCTCAATCCATTTGTAACACAGCTTCCTCCTGAAAATCAGAGCAATTTTTCTAAAAGGCAAGTAGATTCTACTACTGAGGAGATTCTCCATCTTGTAGGAGATGGTTATCTCCAGTCAAATCCCAATCCGAGCCAATCACATGCTTGAATTATTATCACTCACAATAATAATTCCTTATCCAAAGGTAGATAGACATAAAGTATTATCCCTGCTTTATCGATGAGGAAAGAAAGGCGCTATGAGGGAATGTGCCTAAGCCAAGGGCATAGCAAATAAAAGGTACAGCTGCAGCTCAAACCCAAAGCTTCTGCTTAGCTGGTCAGATAGTTGAATGTCAGATTGAAATGTGAGTGGGTAGGTGGGTGGGTGAGTTTTCAGCTCCCTGCTTAACCAAGGATATGAGGCTGACTGGTGCATACGTTGAAGATGTTAAAGGTTAATAAACTAAGGAGCTTCTACCCAAACCGGAAATCTGGTTGTAATCATGACTCTTCCTTTAATCCTCTCAATCCTTATCAAGCCAGTCTCTATCTCCTATATGTTCCCCTACCTAGGGGATCATGTTAAGGATTTGATCTTTATCCAAAGATCACTAAAGAAGCTTTAAAATATTATTTTTTAAATATATTTTTATTGATTTCAGAGAGAGGCAGGGAGAAGAGAGAGATAGAAACATCAATGATGAGAATCGTTGATCAGCTGCCTCCTGCACACCCCCCTTCTGGGAATCGAGCCTGCAACCCAGGAGTGTGCCCTTGACTGGAATCGAACCTGGGACCCTCCAGTCTATAGGTCGATGTTCTGTCCATTGAGCCAAACCTGCTAGGGTGACGCTTTAAAAGATTTTAAGCAGAGCAGTGACACATTCAGACATGTGTTTTGCAAAGATGGCTCTGGCTGTCGTGTGAAGAATGAATTGGGCATGGGCCAGAGGGGACACGGAGGGGAGACCAATTAGGAGGCCATGTGCGCAGTTTAGGGAGGAATGGTAACTGCATTCCAGGGAGAGAACATTCAACAGCTGCAAAGCCAGGGAGGAGGAAAAGGGCAAGATATTTTGGAGGAATTCAGATGGATCTGTGGCCAGAGGACAGAGAGGGAAAGGGAGGAGCTGAAAAGGAGGAGGGGCCATATCCTGAGAAAGCAGCTCACAGATGGGTCAGCTTCCAATACTTTTTACATCTATCTATCAAAATTTCTTGCCCTAGCTGGCTTGGTTCAGTGGATAGAGCATCAGCCTGCAGACTGAAGGGTCCCGGGTTTGATTCCAGTCAAGGTTGTGGGCTCGATTCCCAGTGGGAGTGTGCAGGAGGCAGCCAATCAATGATTCTCATCATTGATGTTTCTATCTTTCTCTCTCCCTCTTCCTTCCTCTCTAAAATCAATATATATATATATATATATATATATATATATATATATATATATATATATATATATATAAATGACTTCTTCAGAATGGGATTATGGTGTTTAACTATCACTAAGTGGACAATTAAAGGTTCTCATCTGTAACCAACAAAACCAATTCTGGCTGGCTTTAATATACAAAGATAACTTATTGGCAGGCTATCCAGGTAGCTGCTACTGATGAATCAAGAACTCCACAACTCAGACCCCTCTGTAGCCAGCACTAAGCCTACCCCTAGAAATTGCATGTGGCCACTGCACCAGAAAGAATTCTTTGCTGGGTCTCATCTTTGAGTCAAAGTTGCCCATGCCTTTGATTGGCAGTACCTAGTCATGTGCCCTTGTCCTAGGTCATGTGACCCTGTCCTTGTTGCAAGGACCCAGAAATTGTGTTGTTGGCACTTGTGATTTCCATACCGGGTGGCAGGTTTTAACTGACTCCAAGAATCATAGGATGAAGGATTCCCCAAACACGAAAAGAGAGTTTAGAGGCTGAGTAGCC